CCAGACCAAGTCATGAAACCTCCTACCCACCTACTGAGGACGAGCCCGTCCCCAAGCCCGAACCTCGAGCCGAGGCTGACCCCTCTATGGATTCGCTGCTTCCAACCTCCCTCCCTCCCCCACACACACTCCCCCCGAGGATCCCAGTCACCGCCCCAGGGTCCCCTCCTTCCCTCTGCACCCTTTCTAACCTTTCCAAAACTCTCCATCCCCCTCCCAACCCTGGGTAATCCTTACCTTTTTCACAGCACAAATATATTTACTGAACTGTTCAAAGCGGGCGTGTACAGCAGAATTGAGCAGCCTCCTCATTTTCGCCTCAGTGGTGCATTTGGCCGCAAATTCAGCAGCCAAGCCAATTCCCCCCCACCCCCCCAACCCCCCCCCCCCCCCCAACACTCCATTGAATTGCTTTGCATTCTGCGGTGCGGAGGGGAGGCGGAATGCTTACAACTGGCGTATCTCCCGACCATTCGAAACGGTCCAACCGCCGTTTCTCTCTCCCTCTCCCTCTCGTGCCTATATTTCCCCTTCGCCTCCCTTCCCTTCACCCAACTTTGTAGAAGTATTTTCGCGGGACACTTCCAGCATTAAAGCCGGCGACTACATTTGAGGGGGTTCGTGGTGTAGCTTTAGGATTTGTCGGCCTGGTATTGCGTGATTGGCTTACGAGAGAGGCGATACTGGAAAACTGACGACAGAGTATGCGGACTTCGCAAGCATCGAGAAGTGGGAGTTGCAAGATTGGAGGGGGGAAGGAAATTTTAGGGGGAGGGGATCGAAATTTGGGGAGAGGGGGGAGGGGGGGATCATAATTGGAGGGGGAGGGGGAATCGAAATTGGACGGGGAAAAGGGGAATCGCAATTGGAGGGGGAGGGGGAATCGCGATTGGAGGGGGGAGGGGGGAATCGCAATTAGAGGGGGAGGGGGAATCGCAATTGGAGGGGGAGGGGAATCGAAATCCTGGGGTGAGCCAAATCCGTACACAATTGTGATCGAGGCCAGATTCAAATGTTTTTAAAGGTTTGGGCGAGTTAGCGGCAAAGTAGCTCAGTCCATCAGGTTACCTCCTTTCAAATGTTTTTAATTTGAAAACAGCAACCACAAATGTAGACGCGGGCTTTAACGGTATCGAACAGAAATTTCAGGTTTTGTTTCCGCTCTCCAGCTCACCACCACCCCAGGTTGCGATAGAAATTGCTAGCTCCCCGTCTCGCGGGATTCCTTCCTGCTTTCTACAAATCCCCCGACTTCGACATTCTGTCATCATCCAACCTTTTCCGCCATCACCTGCTCGACTTCAGAGATGATTCCAGGCGAGGTTTCGATCACTCCTAACTTAGGCCTGTTCACCGACTTGAACCAGAAGCCCGGCTCCAAGCGGCCTTACGCAGACGCATTCGACGCAGCAGACGATACAATGTTCTCCTTCGGCCAACCCGGGGACCTATTCGATCGAGGCGTCGATCAACTGATGACATACATGGGAGAAAATCCCGAAAATGACGACAGAGTGCTTCCAAACGTCGATAGGATTCTTCCGGACGACGTCCCTGAAGAGTCCGTCGGCGAGGGAGGCAGCCATGGCCATTTCGGCATGTTCCACTCGAACCCATTTGGTTCGGACCCTGTTTCGTTTCAAGACGGCTCCTGCCAGCCCCAGCTGGTCCCCTGCGCTCCGAAACCGGCTTCTCAGCTGGCCTCTCTACCGGCGACGGCGATGAATCCCGACGCGGCTGACTCAGTCGCGGACGGAGCCTTCGCCGGTTCGCCTGACGCCTTCAGCTCGCCGGATGGATTCGCGTCGGATGAGCTGAAACTGTCGTTCGGTGCAATGGATGATCATCATGATGACGTGGATGCGCTGAACCAGCAGGACCTTCGCTATAATCTCATGCTCAGAGGAGCGGGCCTCGCAGGTACGCACTCGAAGCCTGATAGACTCGATTGACCTATCGTTTCCCAATTTCCAGTCAGAAATTTCTATCAAGCATGTGTAATTCGTGAACTCTTCTCGTCTGGAACATCTGTCGCTGATACTTCCTCTTTCGTTTTTCTTTCTTTTAACGCAGAGCATTCAACCGCGGATGATGTTTCGACGCATCCCAAGATGGAGTACCCCGCGCTACATCCGATGAGCCATCCGATGTATCCGCAGCACATGCCGCTCTACTACCCAGGCATGCCTACCATGCCGCCGCCCTACTACGGCATGACGTACCCGCCTTTCGCGTACAACCCCTGGATGACCCCCTACGCGCTGCCTTTCATGCCTCCTCAACAGTAAGTTTTCGTCGCGGTTTTGTCAGATTGTGTAACCCTGCGTCTCCCATCGTAACACTTTTCGTAATGACGCATAAAGAAAAAATACAAACAACCCAGGGATGGAAATTATGGAAATTAACCCTTGTTTACCCCGTGCTGTCTCGCTGCAGTGCTATGCCTGGAGCCGGCGCAATCGCCGACCCGGCCGCTATCGCTCGTCAGCGTCGCTTGTCGGCGGATTCAGCTCGCGGAAAGCGACGACGCCACGCAGCCCACCACGCCGCACATCATGCCCCACACCAAGTCGCATCCTCGCATGTACCTTCCGCAATGCCTTCCGCCATGTCTTCCGCACCCGCCTTCGGCCACCCTGTCCAATCCGCGTCCTCCATGTTCCCCTGGACCCACATCCATCCTGACGCTCCCGAAACGGCCAGCCCTGCCCCCTCCTCGCCGTTCCTTCCATCGTCTCTCACTCCGCCCTTCTCTCCCTCCGTCATCCCATCGTCTCCCAAGGCCGCTGCGTCGCCCGTGCCGTGCGCCTCGCCCGTCGTTGGGGAAATCGGAACCGGAAGGCCTGCTGCGAAGAGTCCTTTGGCGAAATCTTCGGTGACGAAATCGCCGCTGGCGAAGCACCGCGGTGTAACAACCCCAGCAGTAGTCGCTGCCGTGACCGCTGATGCCGAGATTACCCCTGCCCCTGCTACGACCGCCGCCGAACCTCTGGCTTCACCTGCTCTTAAGGTGGAAGACGACGAGAGCGTTCCGGCCACTCTGTCTACCGCATTTCCCGCAACTATCCCTGGCAGTATCCCCACGATTCCGGAAGCAGTCCCCGGTATAGTAGCTCCCGCTCTGGCGGCCGCGCAGCAGGCGCGGGGAGGCAAGCGCACCGCGAAGCAGCAGCGGGACGAGCGGCGCGTGAAGCGGCTGCTGCGGAACCGCGTGAGCGCGCAGCAGGCGCGGGAGCGGAAGAAGCACTACGTGGCGGAGCTGGAGCAGCGGTGCGAAGCGGTGGAGAGGAGTAACGCAGAGATTGAGGCGGAGATTGCTGCGCTGGTGGCGGAGAACGAGAGGCTCAGGCAGTCAATCAGGCCTGGCGCGAGGGAGAGGTGAGGTGAGGGAGGGTAGACTGAACGCTCGAGATGAGAGGAGTAACGCGGAGATCGAAGAGCAGATTCGCCTGCAGCGCTGGTGCAGGAGATCGAGAGGCTGAGGCCTTCCATCAGGCCTGGTGCGAGGGAGAGGTGAGGGAGGTGAGGGAGACAGAGCAGGCGAGGGAGAGTAGTGCACAGAAGGTGCTGGAAAATAACGCGGAGATTGAAGAGCAGATTGCTGCGCTGATGCCGGACCATGAGATTCACGAAGGGGCCCGTCCTTTCCTTAATGAGACTGGACTGGAGCCTCTTACTGACGAATCGTGGGTTCAAGCAAGTGCTTCTAGCTTGGTACTTCGACAGTGGAGAGCAGTTGGAGCACAGGTATGAGGCTGTAGAACACTGATCTGGAGGTCAGGATGTTGGAGAAAAGAGAGTTCGGAACAAACCATGTGGGGGGGATGCACGTTGGAGAGGCATGCAGGGATGGGGACTTAATCTAGCGTCAATTTTGGAGAACTAGGAGGAATACTTTACGCTGTACAGTAGAGTAGGCCAGTTTCGCGTGTTGTATATATGCTTCGTACTATGCTAGCCCGTCAAATCCATCTGCCTTGTTGTTGAGAAAGTAGGATTTAGGAAGTGGGATAGGTTGAGCAACTCATCAATTCTTACAGCAGAAGTGTACAGATTAAAATTTGCACTCATTTCGAAGAGAAACGCGGCGACCTGTCAAATTCTTATCTTGGAGGAAATATCTGTTCAACAGCAGGGCCTAAGGCTTTTGCCGGCTGCTCTGCACCCCCTGCAGAACCAGTGTGTTGCCTAAGAAGCTACATCAGTCAGTCCGCACCTGATGGTTTTCTGTGCATTCACGCAGCAACAGCTCCGGCTAGCATAGTCACCAAACGAGCCGTGCCCGTAGTGTCGCAGCCTCCTTCAATCTAGCAGCCTCGCGCGTTAGGAGGCTCTTAACACGCAGGCGAGTGTTTTACGGGCAGAATGCAACATGATACCCAAGTGAAATAATGCGACGAGGTTACTGTATTACTTCACTGCATTCACCTTAGGAAACGATGGCGCCTCGTCGTAGGCTTAGTGCTCCAACCGCCGACGTCGATGCCTCACTTAGTTCTCAGATTCCGGATGTAAGGTCAGGAGGTCCGAGTCATGATCCCATCAAACCCGGAGACAACCATGGTCGAACCAAGCCCGGTCCGAGCGATAGTCGGACCAAGGCCAGTCCGCCGAGCGATAGCCGGAGCAAACCCAGCGGATCGGCCGATCGTCGCCGAGCGGGTCGCATTGTGCTTGCAACAGCCGCGGCGTCGCGAGTGGCAATGCTGCTCCTGTTCTTCGCATTCGACGCGATCTTAGACGATTACGACACGTCAGCACGCATCTTTTCGCCGTGTCGTCCACGCCACGCGTCAACCGGAGACTCGTCCGCAGTAGACCTCACGCTGAGATACCTAGGAATGTCGAAGGATAATAATGATAATAAAACGGGAACCTTCGACGAATCATCTCCCGCGAATGTCGCTACGAAGCTTAAAGACTTTGTTTCTCGGGTCGCCACTAATGTATCTGACTGGGTCGCGCGCACTCTACCCTCTGACCTACTGTCAACCTCACTGATTGAAGAATACCCAGGTAAATGACATCTCTTCCGCCCTCTATCCCCTCAAATACTGCCAACCTCGCTGGTCAGAAGCTACCCCACGTACATGATTATCGTCCACATTCTATCCCAGAATTCACTATCCTCGCGTCTTGCCTCATCCCCCATCCCCCATCACCCCTATTCAGGAGTCTATTTTTGAGGCGCTTCAAAAATATACCCCAGAATCCACTATCCTCACGTCTTACCCACCCCGCCTCCCCATACAGGTCAGAACAACGCCGTACAGCGAGCCCTTGAGAGCGTTGTGGTGTGGGACTCGGTCCTCTTCCACCACATTGCTTGCGGATAGGATCTCCAACCAGCCTATGTGTTCTCCCCATCCCCCATGCCCCTGTCGCCCCTATACAGGCCACAACAGCACCATACAGGGGGCACTGGAGGGCCTGGTGGTGTGGGACTCGGTCTTCTTCCACCGCATCGCGCTCTGTGGATACGAGTTTGAGCAAGCCTACGCCTTCTTCCCCCTCCTGCCCTTGCTAATAAGGCTACTCACCACTGCCACTCCCTGTAAGGCCAGCAGTACCCCAGCAGTCTGAGGTAGTCTCCTGTGCCAGTCAACCTGCCGCCTTCTTCCCCCTCCTGCCCTTGCTAATGAGTCTGCTCGCGACTGCCGCTTCTTGTAAGGCCTGCCACTGCTGTGAGACAACCTGAAGGTCTCTCTACCTCCTCGCCTTCTCCCCCCTCTTGCCCTTATGAGGGCTGCTCGCCTCTGCCTCCCCCCGTCTGCTGCTCCCCCGTCTGCTGCTCCCCCGTCTGCTGCTCCCCCGTCTGCTGCTCCCCCGTCTGCTGCTCCCCCGTCTGCTGCTCCCCCGTCTGCTGCTCCCCCGTCTGCTGCTCCCCCGTCTGCTGCTCCCCCCGTCTGCTGCTCCCCCCTCTGCTGCTCCCCATTCTTGGTGCTCAAGCCACACCTCCTCCTCCTCCTCCTCCTCCTCCCACTCGCGCTCCTCTCTATGCCGCGTTTTTCGCTGGCGCCAACTGGTCACTCTCACAGCCCTCTATTTCTCCCTTTCGTCCTTCTCCCCCACTGACCCTCTGCCTCAGTCCGACTGTTGCTCCCCGTTCTCGGTGCTCGAGCCACCTTCGCCCTCGTTGGGCTTCTCCTCTCTAACGCGGCTTTCACTTCCCCCCCCTCCTCCCCCCCCCCTCTCCCCCCCCTTTCCACCCCCCCCCTTTTTCGCTCTTCCCTCTCCCCCTCTCCCCCTCTCCCCCACTGACCCTCGCCCCGCAGTCCGACTGCTGCTCCCCGTTCTCGGTGCTCGAGCCACCTTCGCCCTAGTCGGTCTACTCCTGTCTAACGCTGCGTTCGTTGCTGCTGCTTACTGTCTCTTCAGGTGATTTTTGAGTGAGAGATGAGTGAACGAGTGGTGATGTCCCTTCAGGTGATTTTTTAGTGAGAGATGAGTGAACGAGTGGTGATGTCTCTTCAGGTGATTTTTGAGGGATAAATGAATGAGTGAACGAGTAGTGATCGCCTGGCCGTCCTCTCCTGCTCCTTTGAACTTTTCCGGTTCCATCCACCAAGTGTTTGGTCTCCTTCCTCTCCCATTGTCGTGCAGGCTGACTGCGTGTGTACTCGCTGACACACGCCTGGCCCTCCTCTCCTCCCTCCTCTTCTGCCTCACACCAGCCTCCACCTTCTACTCTGCCATGTGAGTGAGTGGGTGAATGAGGGAGTGTGTGAGTGTGTGTGTGTGTGTGTGTGTGTGTGAGTGTGCGTGTGTGTGTGGGTGCATGTGTGTCTTCTCTCCGCCCTCTTCTCCTGCCTCACCCCTGCCTCCACCTTCTGTTCTGCCATGTGAATGAGTGAGTGTAAGGGGGGGGGGACGTGTCTCTTATCCCCTTTCCCTTCTGCCTCACTCCAGCCTCCACCTGCTATTCTGCCATGTGAGTGAGTGAGTGTGTGTGGATGGGCTGAGGTGTGTGTGGGGGGGAGAGGGGGGGGGTTGTGTGTGTGCGTGCCTCTTCCCCTCCCGCTTCTTCTGCCTCACTCCCACCCACCTCCACCGTTCACTCGGCCACGTCACATGTGAGTGAGTGTGGAGGGGAGGGTGAGCAAGGGTGTGGGTCCACTAGGCAATCAAATGGTACAGTGAAATGAGTGGGGAACCATGAGGCGGCCTATTTCCCTATTTTTGAGGCGCCTCAAACATGAGGACTCTATTTTTTAGGCGCCTTAGAAGTGGGAGCCATGAGGCGGCCTCTTTCCCTTCCTCAGTAGCTCCAGTCCCCCCCCCTCCGCTCTCACCCCTTCCCACCCCTTCCCACCCCCCCCCTTTCCCCAACAGCTACTCTGAGAGCCTGTTCGCCCTGCTGTCGTTTGCGGCCATGTGGCGCATTATAAGTGGTCGATGGGTCTCCGCATCCCTCCTGATCGCCCTCTCAGCAGCTGCTCGCTCCAACGGCGTCCTGCACTCGGGCTTCTTCCTCTTCTCCCTGCTGCAGGTGGGTAACTGTGTTGGTGAACCTTATGATACAGGAGTGTTGTTATTGCGTGTCTTGAATGCCTCCCTGATCGCCCTCTCAGCAGCACCTCGCTCCAACGGCGTCCTGCATTCGGGCTTCTTCCTCTTCTCGCTGCTGCAGGTGTGTAGTTAGCCGTGGTGTTACATGCTGGTTACCACTGCACATAGTATGTGTGTCCCTCCTGATCGCCCTCTCAGCCGCAGCTCGCTCCAACGGTGTCCTGCACTCGGGATTCTTCCTTTCCCCCCTGCTTCAGGTATGCGTGTGCATGCCAGCTAGTGATTGTGTGTGGCATGATGCTTCTGTGTCCGGTCCCTCTCAGCCGCACTTCGCTCCAACGGCGTCCTGCACTCACCCTTCTTCCTCTTCTCATTGCGACAAGGTGGTTATCGTGGTGTTACATGTTGGTAACCACTGCACCATGGTAAGTCCCTCCTGGCGGTTCTCTCTCTCCAGCCGCATGCTACACTGGAGGTGATTTTTGAGTCGACTAAAAAATGAGTAGAAACGATCCTCTTCTTGCTGCTGCTGGTTTGTAGTCACATGATGTCACGCAGATGCTGATCTGGTGGTAACCAGCACCCATGGTTACCCTCCTGCGTGCAAGTTGGTTTTTTTAATAATGCGAAAAAAAAACCAAAACCAATCTGCTGCAGATGCTGCTGCAGCTGTTGTTGGGTGGTTTGGTGGGAAGAGGCCAAGGCGCTCACCCTACTGTCTGCCTCCTACTCTCTACTGACTGCCTCCAGGCTCCTTCTCTTGCTCTCCTCTCTCTGTATCCTCCCTTCCTCCAGGATGCAGGTCATCTTCCTGCATGCTCTGCCACAGAATCCGCTGCGACTGGCCAATGGTGTAAAGCAGCGAGCCGTTGGTAGTCAAGCTGCCTCACAATGCTTTCACCCTACTGTCACACTCTCCTCTCCCTCCCACCTCCTCCTCCAGGCAGTGGGCCCTTTCCTCCTGCGAGTGCTGCCACAGAAGCTGCTGCACTTGCTGGTGCACCCATTTCAGAAGCCCACCGAGAGGCAGAGAGACGTTGGGTCGCTATTGGAAAGCAAGCGGCAACTGTTTCGCACCAGGTGTGGCTCCCTAATTGTTCCCTCTCAATTTTCTTGTCCCATTCACCTTCTCTTGCTGCCCTCCGTTTCCGTTTCCCTTTCTTGGCGTCTCAAAAGCACTCTTCCTTCCCTTTTGAGGCGCCTGATAAGACCCTTCCCCAACCAGGCTCCTCCCCACCCCATCCTCCTTTCTTTTCTGGCGACTTATAAGCAGTCCTCCTTCCCTTGCTGTAGCATGAGTTGACTGACAACACCCTCCCCCATTCCCCTTCATTCTCCTACATTTCCTACTCCCCTCCCCCTTCCCCAACCAGGCTCCTCCCCACCCCATCCTCCTTTCCGCCACCGTCTGCTGCCTCCTCTCCTTCCAAAGTCTTCTCGTTTACCAATAATATTTCCCCAACCAACCCTTTTTTCCCTTACCCCTTATGTTTGGTGTCCGCTCTCCCCCAATCATTTTCCCAGCCAGGTCCTCCCCATCCTCTTCTCCACAGCCATCTGCTGCCTCCTCTCCTTCTCCCTCTTCCTCTCCTTCCAAGCCTTCGCTGTCTCTCAGTTCTGCATCCCCAACAGCCCCACCGCTGCCACCATGCCCACGAACCGCGCTGTCCCTCCCTGGTGCTTGGACTGGGTTCCGTACGTGTACGGCTACGTGCAGCGCAAGTACTGGTGAGTGAGGAACACCCCCCTACCAGCCCCACCGCTGCTACAGTGCCTACCAGCCCCACTGTTCCGCCCTGGTGCTTGGACTCGGTTCCTTACATATACAGCTACATGCAGCGCAAGTACTGGTGAGAGCACTCCCACCACCCAAAAGCCTCAGGATGTCCCTCTCTGGTGCTTGGACTCACGGCTACGTGCAGCGCAAGTACTGGTGAGCAATCAGCGCCCTCCCTTCCCCCATGCCATCTGCTGCCTCCTCTCCTTCTCCCTCTTCCTCTCCCTCCAAGCCTTCGCCTTCTCCCAACTCTGCACTCCTACCAGCCCCACTGCTGCAGCGCAAGTACTGGTGAGGAAGGAACACCCTCCTCCTCTCCTTCTCTCTCCTTCTTCTCCTCCTTCCAAGCCTTCGCCTTCTCCCAGTTCTGCACCCCCACCACCCAAAAGCCTCGGGACATACCTCCCTGGTGCTTGGACTCCGTTCCTTATATATATAGCTACGTGCAGCACAAGTACTGGTGGTGAGGAAGGAACACCCTCCTCCTCTCCTCCCTAGAGAAACAAAATGCCCCAGACCCCTCTATCCCCCCTTTTCCCTCTTTCCCCTCCCCCCCCCTTGGTGCTTAGACTCTGTTCCTTCAAATTACGGCTACGTTCAGCACATGTACTGGTGAGATTTGTTTTCTTTTTTTTCTGGAAGCACAGATGTTACAGACTCACGGTTCCTTGCTCCCTGGTCCTTGGACTCGTTTCCTTACATTTATGGCTACTTGCGACGCAAGTACTGGTGAGACAGTAGCGGTGTCATCCTGCACCAAAATAAAAGCGAAAGATACTGCTTGCCTTTGTTTAGCATGTGCTCCGCACTCCTGTTTTGAGGCTCCTCAAAACTAGACTCTTATCACGCGGTTTTTTTTTTAACGCGCCTCAAAGCGAAAGATACTGCTTGCTTTCGCTCAGCATGTGCTCCGCACTCCCGCATCAAAGTCTCTCCCTCTCACTACATCCTTCTCCCCACAGGTTCCTTCAATACTTTCACCTGAAGCGACTCCCGAACTTCCTCCTAGCAGCGCCCGCTCTTCCCCTTTGCACTCACCTGCCCCCTCCTCTTTTCCTACCTTCGCTGCCACCCTTACACAATGCAGGGACGCGGGATTTCTGTGTTACTTCCAATTAAAACAGCTCCCCAACTTCCTCCTAGCAGCGCCCACTCTCCTCCTCTCCTCTCCCCCTGACCCCCGCCGCCTCCTCTTGCTGCCTGAGGCCCACACTCGTCCTCACTCTCTCAGATCAACCCCTGTTTCCCCGCTCTCCTGCCTGCCCCCACCTCTCTGCAGGGACGTGGGTTTTCTCCGCTACTTTCAGCTGAAACAACTCCCCAACTTCCTTCTAGCAGCACCGACTCTCCTCCTCTCCCTCACTGCCCTCCTCTCCTTCGCTCTCACCCGCCCCTCCTCTTCCTCTCCCTCGGCCTCCTCTCCTCTCCCCCCGACCACCGCCGCCTCCTCTTTCTCCGGCCAATGCCCGCAGGAAAGGGGGACGGGGGAGCGGATAAGGGGAGGGGGGAGGGTAGCGGGAAGGGGAAGGGGAAGGATAAGGGGAAGGGGAAAGAGAGGGAGAAGGGGAAGGAGAAGGGGAAGGGGGAACGGGGAGGTAGAAGAGAGGAGGGAGAGCAGGAGAGTGCGGCGGTAGTGGAAGAAGCGGAGGAAGGGGAGGCGGAATGGGGAGGGGTTGACCCTATGTGTGGATGCACGGGGTTCTATTCTGCTGCTGCTCTGCCATTCCTTCTACAGCTGCTGTTCACGACAGCTGTTGCGACTCTAGTCATGCACGTGCAGGTGAGTCAAACATGCAACTCAGTGGAGGAAGGGGGGTTGACCCTATGTGTGGATGTGCAGGGTTCTATTCTGCGGCTGCTCTTCCGTTTCTGCTGCAGCTGCTGTTCACAACAGCAGTAGCAACTCTAATAATGCATGTGCAAGTGAGTGCGGAGGCAGGTTGGGCAGAAGGTATGGCAAGGCTTTGACCCTATGTGTGGATGCACGGGGTTCTATTCTGCGGCTGCTCTTCTGTTTCTGCTGCAGCTGCTGCTCACGACAGCAGTAGCAACTCTAATAATGGATGTGCAAGTGAGTGCGGAGGCAGGTTGGGCAGAAGGTATGGCAAGGCTTTGACCCTATGTGTGGATGCACGGGGTTCTATTCTGCTGCTGCTCTTCCGTTCCTGCTGCAACTGCTGTTCACGACTGTTGTAGCGACCCTGGTCATGCACGTGCAGGTGAGCAAGATGCACTTCCTATCTCACCTATCTCACCTATCTCACCCATCTCACCTATCTCACCTATCTCACCTATCTCACCTATCTCACCTATTTCACCTATCTCACCTATCTCACCTGCGATCCTTGAAATCCTCCTCCGCCACCCGCCCTCCCCCCTCCAACTCTGGCGTGACAGCTGTGGCGACTCTGGCCATGCACGTGCAGGTGAGCCAGTTCAATCGTGATTCGTGGAGGTCGCACTTCTTAGCACCATCATCCCTGAATCTTCTCCCTTCCAGCTCGCTTGCGTCTATTCGTGGCAGCACTGGGAACCCTGGCGATGCACGTGCAGGTGAGTTATAATTCATGGACTCGAGATGCATGATGCAAAACTGGTGATTCCTAGCACCGAGACCGTGAATTACGGCACCACTACTGGTTGACTGACGCAAGTGCAGGCTGAATAACCAAGCGTTTCCCCTGTTTCTCAGCCCCCTCTCCACCCCACTGTTGTTTTGTCTGCAGGTAGCTACTGGCTTTCTGTCCTCCGCACCTCCTCTCTACTGGTTCCTTGCCCATCTTGTCACCGCTGCAACTACCAAGCAATCCCAGTCTGGAGGCTTGTCTTCTGCAGTTATACAGCTGGATGGACTCACATCGTGTTTCCCCAATCTTACAACCCCCTCTCCCCACACCTCTCCACCTCTCCCCACCTCTCCCTACTGGGTTGCAGGTTGCTACTCGCTTTCTGTCCTCCTCACCTCCTCTCTACTGGTTCCTGGCCCATCTTCTCACCACTGCAACTACGAAGCAATCCCAGCCTGGAAGGCTCTCGTTGGTCAAGGGGAGTCAAAGATGGGGATTTTTTATTTCAAGGGCATGGATTGGTGCATCGCTAGGGTATGCAATGATTGGTTCCTTGCTTTTCATCAATTTCTATCCCTTCACCTGAGTTACTGTAGTTATCTGTAAGCAAGCTTCTTTCTTGCATGACAGTAATGTACCACATGCGATTTTGGTGCACTGATGGAAACAAGTTGCGTTGACATGAGATTTTTTTTGGAATAAAAACTTACAGATTGTGATTCGACTAGAAGAGGAGTTTGCTGTATAGGAGACAAACTCCTGACTGCACCTGCACACCCCTCTGAGGTCGTGTCACAATATGGGGGTTTCATCTGCAGGATGGTCATTGCCTGTGCAGGCCAGCCAACACTGGTCAGTCCAGGGGCAAACAAATGCCATCCCCCTTCGGAGGTACTTCTGCATGATGTCCACCTTTTATTGACAGCATGACCATAGGAGTGACTGGACGGGAAAGCGGATTTGTGTCAGAAGCATGCTCAATGTCAGTCCCTCAGTGAATGCCTTTCTCGCAAGTCACAGAAGAAGTCACGGAAAAAGCCACAAGACTTCCTTCCACGTCAATTCCAAGGCTCAGCAGGGAGGATCTTGGCTGATGTCAGCTTGATTATGATGACCCTGCTGCACGTCAACGGTTAATTCCGACAACTTCTTAGCCACAGTCGACTCTCCGGTTTCAGCTGTTTGGAACTTGATCAGGACTCTTTTCACTCTCGGCGACATGCAACTCCGTCGGCCGGTGGGACTGGCCAGCTTCATGGGAGCTCCAGGACAGGATCTTGACCGTCTATGAGACTTCCTGATTGGTGTGCGAGTCGTCAGGCCAACTTCTGAAACAAGAAAGACGAGCTGTGTCAACAATAATGCCTTCCGACGCTGACAATCCACTCGCGAAATAAAAAGCGTACTAATTTTAAACATTACAGCACCAGTTATACCTTCTCTTCGACGGGTGTGGAACGTCGTCTGACTCGATTCTTGATCCGGGGAGATGCCGTTCTCTGCATTTTCGTCTAATGGTGGAGATGACGAAACTGATTCATGAGCAAAGGCTGTTCGCTCAACATTCTGCACCGGTTCCAGGGACATATCATGTGACTGGCTCAACATATCATGCGAGAGGCTCTCAGCCGCAATCTAGAGAAAAAACGTCAACGCTTGCGACTGGCGTTCAGCCGAAATCTAGTAGAGGAATAATGTCAACGCTTTCGTTACAGCATCGAGGTGGAAGGGACGAGAGAGCGTTTCGCGGATATAGAAAGACTCGGACCAACAACCCCGCGAACATTGACTTGGATATGCAGCAGCAAAAAAACGTTTTCTCCATGTCGCTAGTACGCGTAAGAGGCAGCAATCTGGACTTGATCAGCCCATCACTAGCAACTAAAACGCGAAGATCCAAGCCACTGGCTGAAAAGAGGGGCTTTCACCTATAGCTAAATTGTTTGTGCAGCAAGTCTACTCCGTGGCTCGCGTCTACTTTGTACGGTCGCTCTACACTCAAGGTCTGGTCCGGAAATTTTGTGACACGGGAATGCAACTGACTACAGCTACGTGCAGGGATGATCTCAAAACGGCATAGACGCCAGAGCTACAGAACTCAACAAAACGATCATTCCACCGGAGTGTGCTTCTTTCCGGTCAGTCTGGCTCGTCCGTCAAGTCTAAGTGGCTGTTTTGACTCTTGCCCGTGACCCCCGACGTGACCAGACGAGGCTGGCAGTCCCGTCAAACTACGCGGACCGTTTTACGCGTGGCAGGACGGAACGTGGGGGCAAGAGAGCTGTGTGTTATGGCGGTAAATGCTGATCAAAAGCGTGCCAGCACAAACAGCTGTCAGCAAATATAATTATCTAGGCTAGTTTATATTTCTTATAGCCTTAGTTAGATAAGTTCTTAGAGGGTAGTCCTACCTTTGTAACCCTCGACATTTTCCCTTAGTCCACCATTCTCCTGACAATCTAACATGGCATATAGAGCTAGGTCTCTCCCTCTACTCACGCTTCCGCCCTAGCACACCCTAGCCTAACATGCCTCGACCCTAATTGCGCGCCTCGTAGCTCGTCCCCTCCCCGCCCTCTCCTCTTCGTCGTGTAGCTCACGCCAGCCGCCGCTGGCCCATGCCCGCAAGCGCCTTAGTTCGTAGCCGTCCCACCTCCCGCCATCCGTTCGTAACATGCGCCAGCTCGTGCCAGCCCGTCTGCCCCCCCGGCTCGCCAGCTCGCCAACCCACCTGCTCGACAGCTCGCACGCTCGCCTGCTCGCCAGCCCGCCTTGCCTGCTCGCCAGCCCGCCAGCCCGCCTGCTTGCTCACCAACCCACCTGCTCGACAGCTCGCACGCTCGCCTACTCGCCAGCCCGCTAGCTCGCCTGCTCGCAAGTCCGAATGCTCGTTTGCTCGCCAACCTGCAAGCCCGCGTGCTCGCCAGCTCGCATGCTCGCCAGCTCACACGCACGCCTGCTCGCCCGCTCGCCAGCTTGCAAGCATGCCTGCTCGCCCGCCCGCGTGCTCGCTTGCTTGCCTGCCCGTCAGCCTGCCTGCTCGCCAGCCCGCCTGCTCGCGTGCTCGCTAGCCTGTCAGCCTGTGTGCTCGCCAGCTTGCACGCTCGCCTGCTCGCACGCTCGCCTGCTCGCCAACCCGCCAGCCCGCCTGCTCGCCAGCTCGCCTGCACGCCAGCGCGCATGCTCACCAGCTCGCCTGCCTGCCTGCTTGCCCGCTCAACTGCTCACCAGCCTGCCTGCTTGCCAGCAGCCAGTGCTAGCTCACTAGCGCCAGCAGCCAGCACCAGCTTGCTCGCCAGCGCCAGCCAGGGCCAGCAGCTAGCAGCGCAAGCAACCAGCGCCAACAGCTAGCAGCAAGCAGCCAGCAGCCAACAGCTAACAGCCAGCAGCGTCAGGAGCCAGCGCCAGCAGCCAGCTTACTGGCTCACCAGCGCCACCAGCAGCCAGCGCCAGCCACCAACAGCCAGCAGCCAGCGTCGGCTGCTACCAACCATTGCCACTACCGCAGCTACTACTACGCGCTGCCGCCCCGCTGCTGCCTACTGCCACCCACTACCGCAGCCACTGCTGCCGCCACTGTAGCCGCTGCCGCTACAGCCGCCATTGCCGCTACAGCTGCCGCTGCTACTCCAGTTGCCACTGCTATTGCGCACCGTTAGCTTCGGCCTCCAGCAGCTGGCCACCAGCCGCCAGCACGAGTCGTCAGCCGCCAGCTACCACCACTCGCGGCCAGCCGCTAACCACCAGCCGCCAGCGGCAGTCGGCCGCCGGCCGCCTGCCACGTGAGTCCCTGTGCCCTGTGGATTGTCCTTCCTCCTGTGCCGCCAGTCCTAGTGCCTCCTAGCTAGCTCCTTGGCATACTGCTCCTAGTAGATCCTCTCGCACATACTTTCTCTGCGTTTGCTCCCCACTCCTCCCAGCAGCTCCTAGCCTACCGCCAGCCGCCAGCTAGCCGCTACTGCCCTCAGACTGTCTCTATTTGCTGCTGCTACCAGCCTTGTGCTCGCTATCACTGCTCTAGCCACAGTCGCCACTGCAACTGCCTCCGATTGTACTCCTCTAGCACCTAGTTCCTCCCACTAGTCCGCTCCTCGTTTCTAGAGCTCCTCAACGCCTCTCCTCTTGGCACGATGGTCTCATTCGGGTTAGTCCCCCGGCTAGACCGCCGCGCACTTCCCTCCGCTCTCCGATTTCTCGCTCACCATCTACAGCTGGTGAGCCCACACCTGGACTGCACGCTCCTAGACGATCACATTAGTTACCTCATTGGCTTCTGGCTCCACGACCTTGATGTGAGCTTCTGGGCTCTTTGGCCAGTGCCGCAGCCACCGCAGCAGCAATAGCGGCAGCAGCATGAGCCGCAGTGGAGTCTTGGGGATGCTAAGCAAGGTGGAGGCTCTGGAGGTGCGGCCCCGGGACGGTCACTGCCCTGGGGCCAATGTGGTTTCTCTAGAGGACCGGGGACCTTGGGCCTAGGGGTCTAGGTCCCACCACTGCGTATAGTATAGGAGCCTCTACTACGTGTCCCCTAGGCTACCCCCCTACCCCTCCTGCGACGACCTTCTAGTTTATCCTTGACTCGGGCGCATCTTGTTGCTTCTTTAGAGAAAGTACTGCTCTCACCTTGCTAACTGCGCCTGTCCATATCGCACTAGCAGACTCCTCCCTCACAGCTGTCGCACGTAGCAACACCACTCTCCCTTGTCCAGCTGTCACCACTATGTTCCCTGGCCGCGAGAAACACACCGCTTACACAAACACAGCCACCAGTTGGCACTTAGCCACGTATGAGCGTGACCCAGGGTTAGGTCTCTTTATACTACATACTGAGTCCCCGCTGACAGCTGCGTCTGCAGCGGTTGTGCATCCTGCTCCTGTCGCTCCATAGCCCACCCGACTCTTATGTGACACCACCGCTTAGGTCACCCTACACTCTCGTGTCTTAGGCACAAGTCCCAGCACAGTCTAGTCATTGGTCTACTTGCGTCGCTTCCCGCCCTGCCTACGTCGGTAGCGCCACTGTGCACGTCCTGCGTCGAGGGTCGGCAATGCGCCACCCCTCACTCCTGCTCGTTTCCTCCTACCACAGCGCCACTACATACGCTGCACATGGACGTCTGGGGCCCTGGCCCGGTCCATGGTCTTAGTCGGGAGCGCTACGTTCTAGTCATCGTTGACGACTTCTCTGGCTTCACCACAGTGTTCCCGTTAGAGAAGAAGGCCGATGTGCCTACCATTCTCCTTCCGTAGCTTCTTACTGCTCGCACCCACCACCGACGACCTGTAGGTTGCTTACACTCTGACCATGGCGGCGAGTTCGCCTCAGGCACTCTAGGTCAGTCTTTCGTGCGGAGGGCATCCGCCAGTCGTACACTATGTCAGACTCCCCACAGTAGAATGGGGTCGCTGAGTGACGCATCGGCCTAATCATGGAGGTAGCTCGCATCTCCATGCTCCATGCCAGCGCACCCCATTTTCTGTGGCCGTTCATCGTGCGCTACGCTGCTCATCAGTTTAACCTGTGGCTGCGCTCCCAACGGCCACAGGTTTCGCCGACCCTCTTCTGGACCGGGTCTCTTGGTAACGCGTCTGCGTTCCACGTCCGCGACATTGGCGCACCCTTCCTTGTGTCTTCCTGGGGTTTCCGTTTGATGCCTCTGACTGGCTGTTCTACCACCCGTCACAC